TTCCTGACTGAACCCAGCACAACATTCGATATTCTTTTAATATGTCATGTTTCCACAAAACATCAACAACAACCAAGGAAAGCCAAACAAAAAAACTTCCCATACACCAAAAAACCTTTTTTGCCAAAACAACATTTTTCATTGCTACTCCTATAAAAACCAGTGATCTTTGCAAGAGATGTTTGGAAGGAGAGGAGGGGAAAACAAGGCAGACCATGCTTTTGCTGAAGGAGGCTGGTGGGTTAGACCCAAATGGAGAGAAGGCAAACTGAGGGAAAGGGTAGTGAAACTGTTAAGGTAGTGCAGGGGGTAGGAGAGGCTGTGCCAAGCCATATGCCTTTGCTATCCTTGTGTGAAGAGCAGTGCTGGCTAGCTGAGCCTGGGGTGCACCGAGCTCCCTCTGAGGAAATCCCTGGAGTATTGAACTGAGATGTGCCGACGGCTGAGATGGGCTGATCCCAGAGGCTGCAGGGTTTAGGAGTCACGCTGGGCTATAATTACAGAAACAGATGGGCATGATAATACAGAAGATAAACACTAAGGCTAAGGAATGTTCACCTCTCTTTCATGGGAGGAACCTTATAAGGCCCTGTGCATGTGTGGTGACATACACATGCTTCAGGAAAGTAAGCACTGTCTTTTGTGCTTGAGGACATGAACTATTCGGCTGTTATGATTTTATTTTTTGAGGAAGGGAGGACAAAGATGACGTGCTTGTCTGTCTCTCCCCAGGACTGCCGGTGCAAACCACAAGCAGATGTGGAATGGTTTGCTTGCCCTCGTCATTCTCATCTTGTACTCCGTGGCTGTGGCAGCTCTGGTCCTCATGGCTCTTTTCTACACACACTCAGAGGGCTGCATGTACAACAAGGTGCTGATCGGTGTTAACGGCGGCCTGTGCCTCTTTGTGTCGCTGGTGGCCATATCGCCCTGTGTCCAGAATCGTGAGTCTGCTGACCTCTTCTCATGGGTTTCTGGTGCTGTCGCAGTTGTGTCCCTGCAGGCATGGGCCATGTCCTGGGCAGAAAGACTCATGATATTTCAGAGCTGGTGGTTCTCTTGCCCCTGCTGCTTTATTTACACTGCCAAATGCTGTGGCTGGTCATCAGCTCAGCTGCTAAAACCACAGAGGTATGAGACATTTTGGGTGTGCCATCAGGCAGTCGTACTGTAAAGAAGGCTCATGTGCCGATGGCGGGTAATGTGTTGTGGAGATTACGCAACTCTTGCAGTGGTAGGTGAGGTAATAGCTGTCAACTCATTCACCACTGTTTTACCATTTAGTTTTGACTGCTGGTGATTTACTGTCTGTAAAGTTTGGGCCTGGAGGAGTTGACAGCAGTATTTCATGCTTCAGTATGTTTTATGTGTGCTGTTAGTATCTTGCATACATTGGATCGGGAAATGGTAATTTGAGTGGCTCCAACACAAATTTTATGGACAAATAAAACTCATGGCAGCTTGTCAATACGTTTTGGAAAGCTAGTGCTTTTGGTGAGAGCAGGGGGGTGATTCTTTACTTAAGTGGGAATCTTTAATGCCTTTCTGAAACAGCCAGGAGAACTGAAGGACAGACCCTCTTCTCTTTACATGCCAGTGGAAATGTATCTGAACTGCCTCAAAGACTTATGAACTGCTTTAAGTAAAACATAAAAGATACTCTTCTCTTCTGAAAGATGCTAGTGTGCTGTTCTTTAAAGGATATGTATTTCTTTTTCAGTTTGTTAAAATATCTTCAAAAATCACTTGTTCTCCTCTTTCTTGTAAAGGCCAGCCCCACTCTGGCTTGCTGCAGTCAGGAGTTATCAGCTGCTACGTCATGTACCTCACTTTCTCAGCACTATCCAGCAAGCCACCAGAAACTAGTAAGTCATCTAATGCTTTATGTAAATTCTTCTAGACATGCCATGTGTTAAAAGCAAGAATTTAATGAACTTGAATGAACAAATTCAGGGACGTAGGAGTGCTGGGTTTGGTCTGTTCTGGCCTGTGCAGAAGAAAAGGCAAATACGAAAAAGAAATCTGTGCAGCAGAGAGACCATGCAAATGACACTCTGCATGTACCTCAAATGCTTTGGTCTAGGGGAGCTTAACTTACCTTGGGTGAGTTGCACCAGATCAATTCCAGACTCATTCCTATGGACAGGTTTTTCCAAGACTCTGTTCCTTGTGTGGCAAGTACATGTTCTCATACAACAGGACATGACTAAATACACAATGTGTTTGGTCACATGAAGGGATTTAGTGGATATTAAAATAGCTTCTTTTCTCCTAGAACTGGTATGCTAGATGGCCTTACCTCTGGACTCCTAATGGTGCAAAAACTTGGGTACCGCTCATCTTTTGAGAATAAATGGTCTGAGAAGGGGCTTGGAGTTATGTTGCAGTTGAGATGAAGTTGTTCTTCAGCAGAGTGTCTCTACTCCACTTGCCTTCTAACCATTGGCGTTGCAAGCCAGGAGTAGGGAACTCTGTAGAGTTTTAAGTAATTTGTGCTACAAAAACCCAGCAGGACTTTACAAGCACAACTTAAACTGTTTCCTTTTCCCAGGTAAGCATCAATTCACTTATTTGGACAGGGAGCATTCTTTTCACATATAGATGACTTTTCTGGTTCAAATTAGAAATGTTAAAAACCCGTTCTTTATTATTGCTCAACTGCTGGTGTTGAATAGTGGAAACAACAATAACTGGAGGAAAATAAGTCTGTTGGCAGGAAGGAGAGGTTTGTACAGATGTCTTCCAGGAAGAAAGGGGAGGAATGGGGGAAAGAATCTCTCTCTAGTACACTTGTGTAGACAGGGGCAGACACACAAAATGTATTCTAGAGCTAAGAAGAAAAACAAGACAGTATTTAGTTGGAAGATTTACTTACAAAGTTTAAGCAGTGTTTTTGAAAGAATACATAAGTTAATGTAGAAGGCATCTGAATTACTCACAAGACTTGACACACTGTTAAAAAATAGAGAAGGAAAAAGGGGAATAAAGTGATGTGTGGTATTAAGTCATTGGGCTTGTGTTCTTTTATGCTTCTGACAGTCAAAGCCTTTGGGTGTTAAGTAGAATGCTCTGATTCTTCTTTTATGTATTGCAATTGTGGTTAATGCATTTGTCAGCGTATGCAACAAGCACATGCTCTCAGAACTCTAGAATCAGATGTTCCTCCTTGACTTCCCAGGCCAGAGAACTATTATAGTTGTCATCTGCTCTCAGAGATGCTCCTTTCTCTCCTGTCTGTATGATAAGGACTCTCATACTGGCCCGTGCAGCCTTTACAGTGGCATGTGCTGGAGATTTTATGGGGTGCTGGCACTTCCGAAGGTGTCTCATGCCCTGTCAGATTTGCCATGAACTTACCTAATGTTGACTCATTCCTCAAGCAGGGACATTCAAATTGACCGTCTTGCAAATCAGCCACTCTGCAAACCAGGCCTGAAGGAAATGCAAGCAAAAAGTGTTTATTAACAGCACCCAAAAAGCAGAGTTGCAAATATCTTTAGAAGGAATGGGAAAACACAAGGTAATGTCTGTTGAACCTGTGCTTATCACAGTGTGCCTTAGCTTTTTGGTGCCACACTTAGCTAAAAGGGCTTCCAGACTGTGGACCTGCCTTGCTGCAGAGGCATCCCTAATGGACGCAGGTGGGGAATTCTGCACATCTCTGGCCAAGGTGTTACATAAAGGCTTGTCATCCCTTCTTTTGCTCCCACCTCTATGCTGTCCCTGCTGTGTGCTGATAAAGCTTGTGCAGCCCTGCAGGGCCACGCAAAGTCCTGCCCCACCAGGTCAGGGGACTAACTTGGAGTTTATTTTTAACGTGGGTGTAGCCTTTGCTGCATTTTGCCCTCTGCCCCTTCCAGCAGTTGTACTGTCCCAGTGGGGATGCAGTGTGGCTGATGGAAGGAAAGAGATTGGAACACGGTTTGCCTTAAACAGCATTGCCTTAAAAAGCTCTTAATTTGAGATAAGGTGCAGCTGTAACCTCTTGCTTTGGGGTGATGCTGCAGGCCACTGCTCTGCCTTGCCTTGCCTCCAAGCAGCCACCAAAAAGCCAGATGCGTCTTGGAACATCAGGGACTGAATTACTTTCGTTTCAGGGACCTAGAAGTACTAATTGCTTAGAATCTTGCCTGTAACTGGTGCATCTCCTTTTCTTTGGACTTTGTATATCAGTGTGAGAACAGGGCGACCACACCCCACCTTTTTTCACTGGGTGTGAATTTTATAGTTGTCCTCAAGGCACCCCTGCTGCCAAAGAAATTCATGGTCTCAGGTCTGTACTACCTTGGTCTTATGTGGCTCTGTAGTCTTGGGTGAAGTGCTGGTAAAATTCCAACTTCCTATTTCTTAGTTCACCAGTCTTTTTCCCTGGTTTGTCTCTATGGTCAGACAAGGAATTTTAGTACCCTACTAAGCTGCGTTTTTCTTTTGCCCGAAACACAGAATCTGTCAGGTCAGATTTACTGATTTTTTTTTCTATATGATCTCTTCAAAAGATAGATAGAAGCAACTGAAATGCACCTACCCAGTATCTGAAGTAATAAAAATATTTTACTGAAAACCTTCAGTCTGAAGACTACCTTGAAATGCAGTGAAATGAACTTTGCTAACTGCTCTACTCATTTCTTTTGTTTTGTGAAGTCCTAGATGAAAACCATCAGAACGTCACAATCTGTGTTCCTGAATTCAGTCAAGGCCTGCACAGAGATGAAAACCTGGTTACTGGCCTGGGTACTACCATCTTGTTTGGCTGCATTTTATATTCTTGGTAAGTCTGGGGGTTTGCAGTTACCCCACTGTAAATGTAGTACTGTGGTCCAGCTCGTGCAGGCTTAGAGCTTATAGCAGGCCTCATGTAGGCAAAGTGACGGGGAGAAGTAGAGTAGAACTGAGCTGGAAGGTTCATATTCTCCTCAGTTTCAGAATGGTTAGAAGTTTTAGCCAAAAAATACCGTTTTGCAGTAGATGGGTTCCACAGAAAGGACGCAGACACCAAGCTAAAAAGGTAAACTTACTGTACTTTAGTTTAAAGTATTAGAAAAGCATAAGCAAGGTAGTGCACCTGATCATTACTACAGAGCATTAGCGACGGTGAGTAAGAAAGATACATCACCAGTTGCCCTAATACTTGACCGTCATCAGGATCCGTACATCAGCTGGGGAGCCCTGTTAAGCAAAGGATCCAGCGAACCTGTCCTGGCCGTTGGGAAGTCCTACGCAGTGCGTCCACTCGTAGGTGAGGGTCCGACTTTGCTGTGAGAGGGTCCCGCTTTTCTACAGTTTAACTAACAAGTCATATAAAAAAGGTACAGAAACATCTGGTAGACTGGATTCACTCTCCTCTTAGATTCCTCCCACAGTCTGGCCAGGGCTCAGGAAGGAACCAAAGCAGGGTCTTTATCTATTTGGCTTTGACCACATATTTCCAAACAAGGCCGGACACCTGGATTGCATGGCCTGACAGTCTGCCTCTAGACAAGGAAAGTTGAATCCATCCTCATGACATTTCATCATCACTAGTGATTATATTTTGTCTAAGCTACATCTTTCGCTAATAATCATGCATATTTCACTAATGATCATACGTATTTTGCTGAAGATCATACATATTTCACTAATGATCATACATATTTTGGTCGTATTTCATGCTGATATGATGCTGGTCGGGAGGTTCGCTTAGAAGTCAACTTTGGTTCAAGGCCTGTCATTCAGGCCTTTGTGTATCAAATACTCAGCAAGATACTGTAACTTTTGAAACAAATATATTTCATTAAAACTGAATAGAGCGATTTATATCTGGAGGTGGAGGGGAAAATATTTCCAGCTGTCCATGATCCCAAACAGTCTCAGGGTGCTTTGATTCTGTATTTACTCTTTCTGTAAGAAAAACTCTGTGCAGCTGTGTCCATCTGAAAAAGCTATCTGAAATACATTTTGCCTCCTGGCAGAAGCTAGGACTGTTCCTTGAGAGTCTGGAAAACAAACAAAACTGTTTGGGAGGGTTTAGGCCTTCCTTTGAACAAGTGATGAGCACAGTACTGTCATCAGGATTTGCCACTGATCTCCTCTTAAAAAATCTGTTTGTGCCCATATAGTTGTGATGCTTACGGTGTATTATTGCAGGTAACATCAATAAATCAAGTCACCCTCCCTCTGTGTAAGGGCGAGGGTGGGAGGGAGTTGCTGATGATTGGAGGGTGATGTATTACACGTTTCGGCTGTGTGGGTTGCCAGGAGACAGCACTAGCTGTCTGCTGCATGTTTTTAAGCAGGTGATTTGAGCAGGTTCTGCTTCTGAATCAGTCCACCTCATAATTCACATAGTAAATTTCCTTCATAATTTTGAAATGGAGAAGAGAGACCTTCTGAAGAGATAGCAGAGCTACTCTTCCGCTCTCAGATATACACGTGCGTTCCATTTAATTCTGATACCAGGTGTATGGATATCACATATCGTGGGTATAGTTCACATTAGGAGAGTATTTCCGTTTCCGGTGCCTCAGGAAGGTGTTTCAGGAATGTAGACAGCGTTCACGTAGCCTGCAGGGGGAAGCGCACTGTGTAGCTGGGGAGAGATGGCGGCCTTCCAGGGGAGTGTTTCGAAGCCTTGCTTACGAAGGGTTGGTGTGTACAGCAGAGCATTAACGCTGTCTCCCTCTGGGTAATCGCGAGTTTGCATTACACATCCTGAAAGTGAAAGACTGGGCAAGAAATGTTTCTAACCAGAAGGAATGATAAAGGATTCCCTCCCCAGACAACTGCAGTCATGCAAGAAAGTGAATTCCAGCAGCTGGTACACTGACAGTGGTGGTTGGCAATTTACTTTTGATAACTGACTGCTGCCAGTGACCTGTTAACTTCATTGGCAAAACCTTTACAGGAATGCTGAGCCAAAGGGATGGCCGTGAGGTTAATATAAAAGCATGGGCTGTGACAGCAGGGGAGATCTCTTCTGAATTGCAAATTGGGGAGCTTAGCTGTTGGCAGCTGCCTGATGGTGATGAGTTCACCACCTTTGAGGAGTGACCTACTTTTTAAGCTCGTGATTCAGCTGTGATTGGCCAGGGCCTGCCTGTCAGGCTGGTGTATACTTGAGCAGAACAAACTTCACAGGCTTAAGTGCTTAATGCTGTATCCGGGCAAATGCTTAGCTTAGACAATGGGAGTAGACTATTTATGTTTGCTGTGGTGCTGAAAAATCACCCTGTTGGGCTTACATTTGTGCCAAGGGTTTTGACATTACCTTCTTTTGCTTCTAGTTTGACCTCAACAACACGTGCGAGCTCCGAGGCACTGAGGGGAATATATGCCGCACCTGAAACTGAAGTGAGTTCTTTATTCCTGCCACAGGTTTTCTTTGCAGACTTCCTCATGTGCTTTTCTTGCTGTTGTTTTCATGGCTAAGTAATCTGTGATTAGGTGAAAACAAAAGCTGGTTTGTATGCTAAATGCCTATGGGTATGGACTCGCCTAGGTTGGCCCTTCTGCAGCTCCTGCTGGTCTGGGGAAGGTGTCTTTATGTACGTAAATAATTTGCTGCTCTTGCAGTTTATTTAACACCCTGCAGAATTCCTGTAAAACTTGTGCTCCACACAAGCTAATGTCCTCTCATTTAAAAGAAAAGTCTGCTGGAAAGCTATCAGAAAAATAAGTGGAGGCGTTCCTGAATGTTTTCAGTCCTGGTTGCCTTTGTTCTCATAGCAACTGACTACGGTTCCAAGTTCTATCTGTGATTTTTATTTCCGCACATAAATATTTCCTCTCTTTTTGGATTATATCTTGGATTATATTTCTTGTCCGTTTCAGCAGCACACATTTCTTCATTCCACCTGCCTATTTCTTTGGCCTTCTTATCCTGCGAACACCCAGAAACACGGGGAAATTAGTGGGTCTTTGCTGAAGTGAACTTTACCATTTACTTCAGCTTGCTAGTGTCACTCTTCAGCTGTATGTGTGTGTGTGGAGGATGACTCTCCATCCCTGGGTTTCTCTACATTGGTGTTACTTAACATCTGCAGTTTCAACATCTATTTTTCAAGTCTTTAATCAGTGGTTGTGGGAATCCAAAGGTGCAGCAGTGTCTGAGGGGGCACTTAGTGTTTGCAGTAGCTGGACATGGGGAAGCAGGACGCGTTTCACTGTAGGATCATGTCAGTGCTGGAGGAGCTTCCCTGTGGCAGGACGGTGCGACTGGAGCCAAGCGCCCGGTGGCTGCTCGCGCTGGCCC